GGTAACTTTGAGGTTGCCAACCCTCGATAGCAAGTGCATATGCAACTTGGTTTCCCTCTCTGAAGATGTGGGAGATCATATATCTGTCAAATGAAACGATATCTGCAATCTATCTTAGTAACCCCTGGATAGGCCACGGTCCACCACCTCTAGTGATGCAGTGAATGCCAACAATCGAATCTGGCTTAACCCAAATATCTGACAAACTAAGATCTCTAGCCAATAGTATCCCATCACGAATAGCCCTAAGTTCCGTTTCTAATATCATACATTGTCCATATGAAGTTGAGAAAGTCCTGATACAATTTCCTGCATAGTCCCTGATAATGCCTACCCCGCTTGCAAACCCATCCTTGACACAACCATCGATGCTGATCTTGACAAATCCAAATGATGGAGTACATACGATATGATGACGACTCCGGCGCGAGGTCGGGTCATTACAAAAAAATGCAACAATTTAAACTAGCAACAATGTTCAACATGCCACCTTCTATTGATAATATACGAATTATGATTTGTTCTTTTTTTGCTTTAACTGTTGAATCATCTATTTTTTAGGTTTTTTTAATGAATTGATTCGACCTAGTAGTTCTTTTTTGTAAGTTATTATGTGATCGAAAATTTAATCATCTAATATTTTTTGGTATTTTTGTTGGAGATAATTTTTTTCTAAACATTTTATAACGCTTTTATTAAATAATTTTCCTTTTAGTAAAAAATAATTAATTTTTTTAAAAAAATTATATTACATATTAAAATGTTACCTTTAGCTAGTCAAAAAAAAATCTTGATGCAAAAAAGAAAAGAAAATTGTAAAAAGAAACTAAGACAATAAGCAAAGAGCGTTATAAAATATAATAAAAGCAATTGACGAAGAACGTTGCAAATACTTAAGAATGTGCATTTGAGGCCTTTTGCAACATTTGCACGTTATCGTATCCTTCTATTTTACGACAACATTAGAGCCTCCAACATACAGGTGAACATCGTGAAAGACCTATGACAACGTTTTTTGTCCATTGCAAAAAACAATTTTTCTTGTCGTGGTTTTTTCCTCCATCTATAAAATGTTTAGCAACAAATCTTCCTTATCGCATAAAGCAAGCCCTATTGCATCACAAACACTTTGTTGTAAGAAATAAAAGTTTATCGCCATAAGTTTTCCACCAATAATATTTTGACACCTTGCTTCCCTCATATTTTTGGCGATAATCTTTATTATTTGTCGCACTTTCTCACATTTTGCAATAACTTTTAATGTCGCATTATCTTTTTTGGTATTTATTTTTTTCATATCAATTTTTACGACAAACTTTAAAAAATGCCACGCTAAATCACTTATTGGGACAATTGTTCATATATCGCAAAATCACATTTTTGTTGTAGTGCTCCAACAACCAGCTACATAGTCAACAACATTTTCCATAGGACTAGAAATGTACCACCCATCACCTTCATCGACTTTTCCAATCTCAACTAAGCTTGCCCAAAGGGCAGCTTTCCACTTCCAAATATTGGTCAACTCGTGGATTCCATTGTAGGACACGAATTGCTAAGTTTTATGGATACCTATTCAGGCTACTATTAGATCTCCATGTATCCCGTGGATTATGAGAACTTTCATCACTGATAGATGTTTCTATTATTACAAGGATGCCATTCAGGTTGAAAAATATCAGAGTCACATGTCAAAGGTTTGTCAACAAGATGTTTGCTGACCTCATTGGTAGGTACATAGTAGTATACATGGATGACATACTGGTAAAGAGCCTCTAAATGAAGGATCATTTCAAACACTTAGAGGCTACTTTCCAAATTCTAAAGAGGTACAAAATGAGGTTAAACCCCCTTAAATGTGCATTTGGTATCACTTCTGAAAATTTTGTTGGTTATATGGTCAACAAAAAATTTTTGAGACCAACCTTGAAAAGATTAAGGCCTTGATAGAAATGAGATTCTCTCGAAAACCAAAGGAGGTACAGAGTCTCACTGGGCAGATGGCAACCCTAACTTGCTTCGTTTCAAAAGTCATCGACAAATGCCTTTCTTTCTTCAAAATTCTTAAGGGAAGGAAGAAGTTCAAGTGGATAGAGGAGTTTAAAGAGGCTCTTCATCAATAGTGACTCCCAGCTAGTGGTAAGCAAAGTTAGTGGCAATATTGACTTGAATAAAGCTTGTCCAAAAGATAGCTTATTGCTCCTATAATTGATCAACTGGTGGATGCTACTGTGAGACACGAGCTGTTAAGTTTCATGGATGCATACTCGGGATATAACCAAATTCCTATGTGTGGGGCTGACGATGAACATACCACATTTGTGACAGATAGAGGATTATATTGCTACAAAGTAATGCCGTTAGGGCGAAGAAAGGTAACATATTAATGGTTAGTAAACAAAATGTTCGCAGACCAAATCGAAAAAATGATGGAGGTATGCATTGATGATATGCTTGTTAAAAGCCTCTAGGGTGGAGATCACTTGAAAAACTTGGAAGAGGCTTTCAATGTATTACAAATATAGGATGGTACTCAATTTGCTAAAATGCACGTTTGGAGTTAAATTCGAAAAGTTACTTGGTTTTGTGATCAATCAGAGAGGTATTGAAGGGAACCGCCAACAAAATTTTAGCCCTCATGGAAATGCCTTCCCCATCTAAACCAAAAGAAGTTCAAAGTCTAACAGGAAGGGTCACCGCTTTTAGTAGGTTTGTATCTCGAGCAACGGACAAATGTTTCCCTTTCTTCCAAGTGCTGAAGGAGGAAAAAAGTTCAGTAGAGCAACGAATAGAAATAGACATTTCAAGTCTTAAAAGATCGCCAAGGGAGAGCACCCCTACTAGCTAAACCGGAAAACGGGAAAAAGCTACCACTATATTTAGCAGTATCTAAGGTGGCGATCAGTTTAGTACTAGTAAAAGAGGAAGGGTGGCAACAGTAACCAATCTACTATGTCAGTAGCCCTTCAAGGAGCAAAGTCAAGATATTAGGATATGAAAAAGCTAGCTCTTGCCTAAGTTACAGCGCCGCAAAATCTGCGATCCTATTTTCAGAGTCATAGCATTGAAGTGTTGACAAATTTCTCACTCAAACAAGTGTTGCCGAAGCCTAATGCATCAGGGAAATTAATGAAATGGGCAATATAGTTGGGACAATTTGAGATAAACTATAAAGAATGATAAGCAATCAAAGTACACGAATTAGCTGATTTTATTACAGAATTGTCAAATGTTCCAATTCTTGAGAAAAAAACTAAATAGGGAACGTGAAAGTGGCATGTGGATGGATCATTAGGAGATACCAACTCTAGAGCAAGCATAATATTGACAAGCTAGGATGGCACAAATTGAATTGCGCATTAAGGTTCTCGTTTTGAGCAACCAATAATATAGCTGAATACGAAGAAATATTTGCGAGCCTACAGTTGGCGAAAGAAATGTAGGCTCGGAATATTGAAATAAAAGCGACTCGCAGTTAGTGGTAAACCAAATAAACTGGACATTCACAGCCAATGATAAAATAATGGATGCATATCTTGCAGAAGCCATAAATTGCTTCAATGCTTCAACTAGTTTGAACTTGTCCAAATTCCTAGGGAGGAAAGGAGCATGCAAATGCCTTATTAAACCTGGCAAGTTCAAAAGACGAGTTGTTAAAAATAGTTCATGTACAATTGCTACCAAAACCATCAGTTGACCAAAAAAGGAGGAGATCTTATGGATACAGGATAAAACTTTTTAGATTCAAGACATTGTTTCGTATTTGAGAGACGAAGTACTTCCAGAGGATAAAAAGCTAGTATAGAAACTACGAATAAGAACTACTAGATACACACTGCAAGGTGACATCTTACTCAAGCGAAGCAAGGGTCTACAATCTCTCTGCTTAGGTACATAAGCAAAGATAAAGCTTCATATATAATGAAAGAAATTCATGAAGGCATATGTGGTAATCATGCTAGTGGACACTCCTCAGCACAAAAGACTTTGAAACAAGGATATTATTGGCCTAAGATGAAAAAGAATGTAATGACCTTTACCAGAAAATGTGAGAAATATCAAACGTTCGTACGTGGCCTTCTCAAGAGTGGAAGGAGGAGATCGTGCGCACAAGTCAGTCTTTTGTAATAGTAAAAAATGTTTTTGAGTATGGGACATGATTAAGGCATAAGCTATTTAAGTAAAAGGAGTTCGGATTCGAAGATTGTAGAGAGTAAAAAGATATTACAAAAGTTAAATGTTGAGAGCATAAGTTTTTATTCCTTTCAAATGACACAATGTGTGGGCTTTTGTAGTAGAGGAGAATAAGTAAGAACAGTTGGATGAAGAGACACATGGTCTCATCCTAGCGGCTGGGCCTCTTATCATAGGCAATAATCGATCAATTTTAGGCTCATGCACATTTAATATTATAAACTTTTCCAGCCCTTGGTCTGAAACATAGGAGCTAGATTTGACATGTTAACTAGGTAAAGTGGCTATTGTAATCTGTTGTCACATCAATCATAAATGGAAGATCTTGTACAGAAGATCCTTTGCAGTGCATCTACTTGCCTTGCCTCGTCCACGAGGGTTTGGCCTATCATACTCGTTCGACCCAATAAACAGTTTGGCCTCTCCTTAGGGGTTTGGCCCAATAAATGGTCAGGCCACATCGTCACATAGGCAAACTAATATGGAGTGTGGGCCCAGGTTTGTCTACTATATCTCTACCACATGACCATGTTTGGAGCCTCACTGAAAGAGGCTTAACACTCTCTTCTTTTCCCCTTTTTTATTATATTATCTTTAATCCCCCAAAATCACAACTGCTAATTTTGGATTAAGGAACGTATATTTCATCCAAGGAAAAAAACAAAAATAGAACTATTTTTCATTTCGTCTCGCTAATTTACTCATTCGCAAAAGTAACATAACTTTCCTATAGACTTGAGATTATAAGAATGTTAGCTTTAAGCTATGAGTAGCTTGGAGCTCGGAACGAGGAAAAAAATATAAAATTATCCATAGATTCTAACATTCAACCTTCTAAGCCAAAGAGAGTGAATCAACATACTAAACACATCATATCTCTTTGGAGGATCATTTACCACAAAATGCCTTTTCACTTGTTTCACATTCTCATGAATTCTTCTATATTTCTCCTCATTTATTCCCATCAGAATCCTTTTCAAGTTTGGCAATTCACCAACTGAAACTTCAATGGAAAAATTGGTCCAATCAAGAACATCACTAAATGGCAGTATGTAATCTTGAGAAATCAAAACTGGCACACATTCTGCATAAATTGCCTCAACAATTCTTGGACTGGCAACTTCAAAACCACTTGGACATAGGCAGTACTTGCTGTTTTTCATGAGTTCTTGATAAGATAAATTTTCTGGGACTTTTTCATACACTCTGATATCCTCATCTTTGTCCTTCCAGTGCTCGAAAAGTGAGGGACGGATTCGACCGTGCAGTCGGCCTGCGAAAAAAGCTAGAATCGTGCGATTGAAGGAGGAGGGGTGTTCTAGAATTTGACCTACTGTAATATTTCCTGTCTTAAAATTTATTTCTGGAAATGAAACATCTTTTCTTGGATTGAAAAATTCTGAGGTATTGGCATTGCATAATGCTCTAATTGAAGTGAAGTATAACTGATGGACATACCATGTAGCTCTTGGCCCCTGCATTATATATTTGATCATTAGGACTTCACATACATTTGAAGGAACAGTAGTGATCTCTTACCTACAGTGAACATGAGTTATTATGCCCGTTGTGGGTGTGGCAACATCGCTGTTGTCGGGTCATCGATATTGTCACACCACAATGGGTATAATAATTCATGTCCACTGTGAGCAAGAAACCAAACTCGTTTGAAGGAAAGGCAATATGAAAAAAATTTGTCAATTGTTAACGTATCAAACTTGCCAAAAAAGAAAGAAGAATGCCAAGAATTTAACAATCTGGTTATAGTGGACCCTTCTAAAGGAAATGATATTTATTCGAGTCAAGAATATCAAACATGCGTACCCAATCATGGCATGAGAGCATGAAATGATCGGCTCCGAGGCTTCTATTCCAGTAGGGATACTTAGCAGATACAATACGAACATAATCGCCTACAACACGTTCAAGAACGGCCTTGTCGCGTATAATAGGATCAAAAAGGTGTTCAAGAATCATTACGACACTAAAGGGAAGAAAAAACAGGTGAGCTTGATGAGGATCACGAGTTCGAAACTTGGCACTCAATTCGATCATATTGAGAAAAATTCCTTCTGTAGAGTAAATGTCTTTGCAAGGACCATAGTGAAACAAAGGGGGTTCCCCTTCTTCATAAACAAATATCTTGAACATGCTTTCCATTAGCAAGTAACTCCTGCATACATAATAAAAACCGAGAGTTTGAGCATTGAACTGTTGAGATTCGTAGATTTGAATTTTCAATTGAAAAGAATTGTGTGACCGTGTTTTTCCTAAACCATTTAATAGTTTCGCAAGAGACAGTTCACGAGATTTTACAGCTGATTGAATAATAATTGGTAGGCCATCCCCCCACACACAAAATTCACGTAAATACGTACATCCATTAAGGGTCCGTTTGGTATAATTTTTAGTTTTACTTTTGCTTTGTATAGAAGATCTTTTTGAGGAAAATACCTTAATTTTTATTTGAAAATTAATTTTTAAAAGAGATTCCTATTTTGAAAGTTTTTTTTAGAGGAAGTCATATTTGATCAATTTCCTCTAAATACTCTCTAACTAGAAGAAGTACTTTCATAAAATTAACCAAACGGGTCTAAAAGCAACTTTTATATCTCAAAAATTCCTTTTTAACTTCTCAAAAACTATGTCAAACTAACTCTAAATCTCCACGAGTCAACAACAGCTCGTAGTGCTAAATGCCTAAATCACATATTTTACCATTCAAGAATGATATTGAGGTAATAACTTGCTTATGTATACTTTCAACAAGTGGGATTTCAAGCCAATTAAGACAATATGTATAGTTCCTGATTGACAAAACTATTTTTAGATTATAATTTGGTTAAATTTCATTTTTAATCACACATTTTATTGAACCCACCATTTTTTTACACTTTTTAGCCACATGTTTCAAGGATACCACTACTTATAAAAAAAATTGTCGAGCAAGGTCCGAATATTCTATTTGAGGGCAAGGTAAATTCTATCAATATCAAATGCCAACTAGATAGGGTTGAGAATGAGTTTTGTTAAGTCACTTATATGCAATCAAGTTTATAATCCTTATATCATGTTTGGTTAATGATGAAAAAAATAAAGACACATGACAAAATTCATAAATTGTCATGTCTAATCTTGTCAGATTGGGCCATAACAAATAGACGATGAAGAATTTTGTCCAATGTCAACACTTGTTATGAATTCTCGAGTTGGGTTTTGATAGGCTCAATTAGTTCCTCAAATGTCTAAAACAAGAGGTGCGTACGGTTCGGGTTTTTGATAATTTTAATAAATATGAATAATGATCAATAAAATAATTTCTTAAATAAAAAAAAATAGAAATATTATCTATGTATGAACAAATTAATTAAGTGATGCATACAATGAAACATCATGTGATGGTAATCAATGTGTTCTTGAAAAAAATCAAACTATGTTTATTGAAACTGATAATTAAGAACCATAATAATAATAATAATAATAATAATAATAATAATAATAATAATAATAATTAGTTAATTTGTGTAAATCACAAGGGTTCACCACCCAAAAAATAAACTATAAATATAGCATAGTTGTTAGGTGTTTATAAAGCGTTTTAAAATTATAACATGAGCCATGTAGACTAATAATTTTTTTTTTTTTTTTTGTCTCACCAAGGACGACCAATTCCCCATTTATTTTTTATTATCAACACAGTAAACATAAACATGTTGAAACTCCAAGGATGCTCAACCAGGGAACTTACAAACGAGATGACAAACACAAAATAATTATCTATTTGTGATCTTAAAAAAAATACCTTTGAAAAACATATGGATTCCTATAGATTTGGCCTTTCGGAACATAATCTTCATCTTCAACAAATAGGGTAGAATTTCTAGTACTCTTCACAATGGCTTCTTTAATCAGTTCTCTCGCTCTAACAAGATCACTTTCAATTTTCTCCATTTTCTCATCCCTTTTTTTCCCCTTTCTCAACATGCTTTCAACATTCAATTCATTTATAAGTTTCTCTACTGCCCTCTGCATCTTTGGATTCTGCAAGAAGAAAATAAAAATAAAAAATACTTTACTTTTTCACAAAAAAAGAAAAAAAAGAAATGATTTGGAAAAGGGATAGGGAGATATACAGAGAATGTGGGGTACAACGCCATTTTGGAAGAATGGGTCGGAGAAGACGAAGAGGAGGATACGACAGTCGATGTCCATGTCCATGTCCATGTCCATGGTGAACATGGAAGAGAGAGTAAAGAAAGAGTATTGGAAACATAATTTGCTATTAGAGACACAAAAACTATGGCCAAGGAAGTTAAAACAAAATTTGTAAGGCATGGATGACTTCTTCTATAAAGCTCCCTCATCTCGCTCTAAATCTGTGATTGACAATGGCATGTAAATGGGAGAATTAGTTAGGATATACATTACAATTTGACAATTGTATAAATAAATTTGGGTTAATTTTCATTTTTGGTCACTCAACTTTTAGTGAAAACTCATTGGGTTACCTAAACTCAATTAGTTCCATTATTAAACTCAACATCACAATCTAATGAGAACATTAAAATTTGTTGCATCGTATGTTTCTAAGTAAACATGACGTCTAATCATGCCGTGATCGTAATTGTGTTTAAAATCAATAGTAATTCATCCGAACAAACTTAGAGCTCTACTTTCAAGATTTTGCTACGACAACATGATTATGTGATATATACCTAGAAACGGGTGCTAATGGAGGATTGAGAGGTCATGTTTGGTAATGTGACCTAATGGAGGGACTAAGATTGAAGTCAATTTGACGAATTAAAATTTCAATGAAAGTTGAATGACCAAAAATGGAATTAGCCCCTATAAATTTGCTTCATTTCAGTTTCTCATTTACCAAATTCCTATTTATGAATTCGATTGGGGAAAAATGAAAAAGGAGAGAAATTCAAACTTTTTTTATTTTTTTTAATCTACCTTGAATGACCAATTAGTTTGGTCCATAAATAAACAAAGGGTTTATTCATATTAATAATTTGAATTGGATTTCGATGTGAATATAAAATGTATTGGTAATTAATGAGAAACAATTGGTTGGTAAACTCAGATTTGTGGAAAGGTCCGTCAAACAAACATATATTAGTGTCATATACATAATATAGATTCCAAGACATGCAATTAATGAACCAAACCCACCATGCTATAAAACCCATATGTTGCAATCTTCCTTGAAAATATCAGCTGACATTTTAATCGGAAACGAATTGAAATCTAAGATTTTTGTTTGATAAAAAAAAAAAAATTGAATCGGAATTCGAAATCGATAATCAAACGGTTTGTGTTTGGGTTGATTCTTGAGCCCGAACCGTGGATCTCCAATTTTGGAATCAAATTTGTTCTTTTTTAATTTTTTTTTACAATTTATTGACTCTGATCCAATGTCCGACCTAACCATACTTTACTTGAATCAAACATATTTTTAGTAATAAGTATTCTAATCAATTAGATTTATTTATTTGAATAATTGAATAGATATCATTTTCGTTTATAGTCACTTCTAATCCTACTTTACACACTGCATTCGCTCCAAACTCTCTTCTTGGGGCGTCACACTCAGCCTCAATCGGAATTGAGTGTTATTATGATAAATATTGAATGCTATTTTGTGGTATAATTGCAGTGAATTAAAAAAGTATTAAAATATGTATTTTGTGTCATATTTTATTTGTTCTAATTATGTTATATATTGGGAAGGTAATTTGTGTGGTCTAAAATTATGGGTAGAATCGAATCAAAATCAAAATCGATGATTCGGGTTTGTGTTTAGTTCTTGATGAAAAAAGTTTCTTTTACGAAATATCCAAAGTGTAATTTGTGGTTCCAAGCATTAAAATACCCGGACCCTCCTGCCCAACTTCCCCCAAGTATTAAAATACCCGGACCCTCCTGCCCAACTTCTCAACCTACTTAAAATGTGATCAATTTATTTATTTGTATGGCTAAGATCTCTTTATACACATGGTTGGCAGCATAAATCTGAATGAAAAAATAATAGCTTTCAAGAGAAACTTTAGAAGTGAAACGTCATATTAACCAAATGATAATATACATTAGAGAAAAAACACAAATTTAATGTGTGGAAGAATGAAAATTATACCGACATTTTCTTATTTTAGAAGTAAATTTCTATGAAGGAATCTCCTCTAATTAATATATCAATGAATTAAATGCACTACATAGCATCCAGATTACTCATCCATTTTGTGATCACTGAGTTGAGATCAATTGTTCAATTTACTATCTGCCCAATTAATTATTGACACATCATTTTTAAATTAGCATGTCATTTCCAATTTACATTCATTAACTTCACCACTAACACTCTCAATTGATAACATATTAATTTTAAATGACAAGTCTGGATGAACAGTAAAAATTAAACATCGAATCTCACTCGACTTTGATTTACTCGCACCACCATCAATCCAACTTTCCGTGTAACATTTAGTCCTGTCTAATACGGCGTATCAAGCATTCCCCAAACAAAATTCATAAATAAATAAATAAATCAGGTAACCGCGAAAGCTATGCACCACTCTATGTTCCAACCAATAACATATCCCAAATGTCATAATATATTTTGTAAAACAACGAAATTCTCATGGGCGACCAATATAGCAGTGTCACCTTCCAAAGCATCTGAGTACTGAAGACATGAGGGTCGAAGAGAGAAACTTCATCCCAGTTGATCCACCGGGGAAGTAGGAGATTGCATAGTAAGACAGTGCAAGGACCTTACAAGATTAGAAAGTGTCAAAAACTCGAACCAATACGAGATGCATGACAGCATATATAATGTGACTCAAATTTCTGCAATTTTAAGCTATTTCATGCTCTTGCAATATATTGAATATGTTCTTGTTTACATTTTATGATTAAAAATGCCTATTTTTTCTTCATGATATCAAATAACAAAGATGCAAATACGTAACTAACACAACATTGCTCAGTATATACTTGTTTGTGAATTCAATACAGACTAAATATGGCATGTTTCCTCACATTCCTCCTCCTTTGTTTGTTTGTTTTTTTAAGGGTAAGAACATTGTTTCACATTTCAAGGGGACACACAATAAGCAAAGATCTCAAGGCAATCATCCAGCACAAGAAGCAAACACAATAAGACTCGATTGAAATTATGTAAATATTGACGCAACAAAGATCTACCAGTTTTGACTGCACTGTTCCTGAACTGGCTTAACTGAAGTTCAAATTATTTCAAAATAAACAAATAAAATAGCATAAATTGCAAAAAAAAACTGTAATGTTTAACAAGTCATATTGTGTGCTTACTCTTCAGAGTATGAAAGAGAGGGATTTGATACCTGTAGCACAGAGAAGAAAACGGAAAGAATATAACTGTGAAGCACCATGGATACATAAATTGTACTCGCCATGCTGCCAATAAATCCCAATGTAAAAGGAAGCCTCTGAAAAGGAACAAATATAACAGAAAACAAAAGAGGTAGGTCAGAGCACTCATCAGGAGAAAGAAAGAAGCAAAACTACCCTGACTAGTATAAACCATAAGTTCAGGTGAAAGTACCGGATTGAACTGCTTGGTTGTCCGGTTCTGCTTAAGTTTGGTTCTGGGTATTAAAACCGAGAACTTACCGGTTCCAAACCGGTTCTCAGTTCCAATAATCATAGCCGAAAAATGGGTCTAACTTGATTTTCTTAGCCTATGTTTGGTCCCCATTTTTCAAAAAAACTCATTTTTACAGAACTCATTTTCAACCACCACATTCTCCCATAAAATAATATTACACATAAATCGAAAACTTTTCCTTATTTTTTGATCACACGTTCTCTAAAAAAAACTATTATTCCAAACTTATTTTCCCCCAAATTTCCATTAAAATGGAGACCAAACACGGGCTTATTATGTGTGTGCGCGTGTGGGGAATAGTATTTGATTAGTCTTAGTAAATTTTAATTTTTTCCTTTTTTCCCTCTTCAAATGGGTGCCAAGAATTCTTAGTTGCATGGAAATGGTTCGTTTCCAATATTGGAAATGGAACCTATGGCTCCACTTTTAAGATACCCAATAATACTTGGTTCCGTTCGGTTTTCTTCAGAACCCCTAATAAACATTTATATACTGGAAAATACAATTAAAATAAAAACCTCTAAAGCCCCGTTCGGGAGGGATTAAAAGCCAATTAAAATTGAAAATATGGCTGTTATTGGGTCTTACTCGTCTAATAAAAATCAACAATAACGGCTATATTTTTAATTTTAATCCGATTTTAATCACTCGCATACAAGGCCTAAGATTCGGGAGGGATTAAAAGTCAATTAAAATTGAAAATATGGCCGTTATTGGACCCCACTCGTCTAATAAAAGTCAACAATAACGGCCATATTTTCAATTTTAATCTGATTTTAATCCCTCCCACACAAGCCCTAATAAGAAAAGTTTAAGTGAAATACCTCTTTTGATAACATATGGCTAAGCTGATTTTTTGGACCTTTTAGAGCAACGAATGAACCAATGATGAAGGCACATCCAATAGTAAAGCAGATAGCAAACTTCTGAGGTGACAGCACCATTACAGGAAGGAATATAGTGAATGCAATAAAGATAAAGAAGACACCAGCAGCGAGGAGCAATCCAAAGTACATCATTGACTTTGCAGAAGGGACATTACTCGTGGCAGAGTTAAAATTCCCTGGCAAATCCATTACACCTTTAGAAACCCTGTGCAAGTATATTGGGTGCGTTAAGAAAAACAAACAAAACAAACTGTAAAGAAACACAGAATAATTACGTAATTTAATGTGGTGACAAAACGAGGTTCCACCTAGAATGCAAAAGAAAATCCAAAAATGCAAAGAAATTCCTTTCACTAGAGAATCAACACCAACTTAGACAAGTGATAACAATACATTGTTCCAACATGTAAATAACTACTTGTTCTTTCTACTATACCACAATAAAAAATTACTCTACATAATCCAGTGAAAATGTGTCGATGCATAAGCATAGAAAATGGTAAATAGTTGTTCTCAAGGTTTTCATAAAAAAATATTTAATCATGATATCTATGAAAAGAATGAGCATCGAACAATGATTTCAAGAACTATGAGATTCTATGCAATCACATCCATGAACATGTATGAGCTTTATTATAAAAACTCGTGTATTTGTTGTTTGGCAGGAAGGAATTGCAATCGAACTAGCAATGTTCTACACTAATAACACAACAGGTGTGAAAAAATTCTCCACATAACAATCTAGGAATCAACATCTATGAACATTTAACATAAATAAGGCTGCAAGAAAATTAATGCAAACCATGAGAAGTCCACCATTCCATGTGTTCAAACAACCATAATCACAATCATATATCGTATACTATGATGCTTGGACTTTGGTGCGAGTGATTGATACGGGTACATATTGTGCACCTTCAAAGTCGGTATCTTTTTTATTTTTTATTTTTTTCCTAAAAGCTAGGATTTGGAGACACGGGTAAAAATGATCCAAAATTTAGATATTGGTACGTAAATACATCTTATAAACTTAAAATTACTTTAGGAATTTTTATACTGATAATTTCATAAAAGATGGACAAGAAAATGGCCTATTACATAAATACACTTACGATGAAGCTTAGAAACAATTAAATATATACTTCATTTGAATGTCTTCAACACTGAATTTTTAGCAACTAAAAAATATATATGATAAAGTGCATTTTTATGCACTTATTAAGGCCATATTACTAAGATTTTGTGTCGTTTTATTATTGCATTTTACTTAACTTATGTTATTTTATTTTATTTTATTTCTGTTTTGGACCCGTTTCTAAGCAATTGGAAAAGAAAAAAATGATAAATTGGCCAATTGATGGAATTTTGGGGACTATGCATTTGATTAAAAGTTGAAGCACTAAAATTGAAGTAATTTGATGTGAGGACCAAGATAGAAGAAAGAATAAAGAAAATTTGCGAAAGTTCTATAACTAGGCAGCCGCCCGTTATATTGGTTGGGCGGCTGCCCCATTTTCTACTGGGCGCTTACCCATGCCAAATAGGAAAAAAAATTTTGGTTTCTTAATTTGAATACAACTCTTATGAAAACGAATACTGGGGCGTCTTCTAAAACCCTAGGGCCGTCCAAAAGTAAAAAAAAAAAGACAAATTATATCATAATTTGAAGAGCTTTTGGAGCATAGAAGAAGCCAAAAACACGAAATCGAATTTAAGAATTCTATTTGGTGATGTCGATTCTTCAATATTCTTTTTGTTTTCTCTTTCATAACATGCTAGACTAATTTTCTATGTATTAGGAGAACGATGAACCGTGTAATATGAGTTTTAATCTTTAGTTTTATATGTTTGACATTAAAAACACATTTTTGGATATTGAATAATTTACATGATTTTCTTTTCTCCACAATTATTGTGCACGTTAGTTGTGTTAATTTGGTGGTCTATTTTATGCAATCGAAAGAATGAAAATAGGTTCGACATATTTAAATTGTCATAGGGTCTGATAGGGGATAGAAATATACCGCTATATCTTATTTGAATCTTGAAGTGTTCATAAAAATTCATGCATTTTTATATGTTCGCACACATCATAGAAATATAGTTGGGTCATACATAAACATAGGTTTAACATTATTCGAGAGAGATTGTCAGATAAATTAGGAACATTGATATATCAAATTCAATCGTGTTATCAATGTGTAAAACTAAAATTAAAATTGATTATTGCATGAGAATTCGGAATCCTAGTGTGTTTCATTCATTAAAACACATTAACTTGCTTTCAACATAATTTGCATTTAATTTAGTTAATTCATTCATAATTGCATAAGTAGGTTAAGTTAGATATAATTCAATTATAAACACATCATATTATCCTTGTTTCGGTTAAGGTTGAAAATATTTAAAATTGAACTAATCAATCTCTGTGAGACGATATCTGGACTCAAAATTTACTTTATTACTTGTTAGCAAACCGTACACTTAAGGTGATTTTAATTCAAAATATATTTTCGTGAACAAGTTTTTGGCGCCGCTGCCGAGAATTGAGTTTTAGTTTGATTTTATTTACCTTGGCACTAATTCGGACTTCTACATGTATTCTTGTATTATTATTTTTATTCCATTTTAGTTTTTTCTCTCTTTTTCAGGATATATAAAAGAAAAAAATAGCAAGATAAAAGATGACTATGATTGATTTCAACAAAATGCTTGTATGTGACTTTATCATAAGGCAACAACAATTGGCAGCTCAAGATATGCTTGTGGGAGATTTCATTATAGAACGACTACGTGATATAAAAGCAGAATGTGAACTTGATGAAACTATCTTGTGTGACTTACCCGTTGAATTATTTCTTTCACCACAATTTGATGTGGGTGATTTGCCTATGTGATTATTTGTTCCACCGGTTATTAATGGACATCAATTAAAGGAATCACGTCAACCAGACTTCTTACAAATACAACAAGAGAAAACGCTCCATGAAGATGTCATTATTTCTTTGTCAAAAGTTTTGAACACGAACGTTGAACTTGAAAAAACTTCAATTGAAGAAGAGCGTGAAAAGATCGAAAAATTAATAATAACGGGTGAAAAAAAACTTGTAGCATTCAAAGAAGAGGAAATCCTTGACTTCATCGTTTGCTCAAAATTGGAGTTTGTGATTAAACCTTATGAGGAGATTGAGGTGTATATTGTTGAGTTCGAAACGGATGATGAGAGGAAGTCCTACTACTTAGAGAAGACAAGATTAAAATTTGGAAGAAAGTTGCAATATGGAACACAAAGTCAAATTAAGCAAGCTAAGCAAGACCTCCAAAGCCATATTCAAAGTATACTTGTGCAAAAGTCGAGCTTGAGACTATAAATCGAGCGCTTAATGGGAGGCAACCCATTTTTCTATCCCTTTTTCCTTATTTTTATCAGTATTCTAAAAAGTGTAAAGCGTTGCGTACCATCGAGGTTGAGAATTAAGAATCACAAGTTTAAGCGTGTCAATGCGGAGAATAAGCGTCATAACGCGTTTCGTACTTTTAATATTATTTTAAAGTATAATAAATAGATTTTTATATTAAAAAAAACAATTTTTTTTTATATAAAAATAAACATACACATGTACTGTTCTAAATAGCGGGAAAAAGCGCCACTATAGCGCGATTAAGCGCCATAAGGTGGGAAAAAGCGCGCTATAGCGCGCTTAATTGCGCAATGTGCCGCTATAGCCTATAGCGCGCTAAAGCGGTCAACAAAAAAGGTTGACCGCTATTTTACGCGCATATCACAAAAGCGTCGCGTTTTCTCCGCGCTATAGCAGGGCTTTTTCCCGCTATTTAGAACGCTGATTTTTATTAACTATTGCATTACAAGTAGTTTTAAGGATTGCATTAATTTAGAAATTCATGCATTTAAACAGTTTTTAAACACATTTTGGGCAGTACTTTAAGATTTGCATTAGTAACTTAGGCATGTTTACTTATTGAGTTCATTTTATTTAGGCTCATCGTTAACATCCTAGTAGTAAACGTTAAGCTTACATTGATGTGATATGCATTTTTAAAGTTGCATCTAGATTTCAATCTTTTAATGTTAGAAGATTAGAATTCTTCTTAGTGTGGATACATTACAAATATTTAAACCTTATTTGCTATCATTAATATTTATTTTGAATTCTTGAAACAGAAAGTTAAGAAAAGTGGTGGTTGTCTTGACATCTACCAACCGGACCAACTTGATCATTCTACCTATCCGCATCTTTATGATCCTTTACTCCTTTATTTGGTTTGTCTTAGTTTTCACATTGGGGACAATGTAATCTTTTTGTTTGGGAGTGGGAGTAAGTATTTGGGATCTTTGTTGTTTGCTTTTCAACTACTTATCGGGTTTGTATAACTAATTTAATCTTAAAAAAAATGGAAATTTTTTTTTTTTAGTGTTTAATATAGCGTTGAACGACTTGCAGCCTATGATATATTTGTTTGAATTTAGTATAGCTTTAGCTAGAACTGAACAACATCGTATCTTATGCTTTTACTTGAGTGCTTATCCATATTAGACTTGTTTACTTGATCACATAGCCATCATTGACTTGCCACTTATGTTGGAGCATGACTTGATTATGTGGATTTAATTGTTAATGTGTTGACCTAAATTTCAATAAAATCCCCAAATCCTTTATATAGAAACCAAATTGCTAAAAAACAGTTTGGGGTGAGAAGATTAGTACTTGTGTTCATAGAAGTTTGATGGTTTGGAATTCTTGGATCAGATTTTTAGTTGAAGTAGTTTGAGTTAAGAAGTCTAGAACGGGCATTAACCAATGTTAAAATTCGAATCTTATATCAAAAGAAAATGTGATACATCTTACACTTCTCTTCATAGCTTTTATGACTCGAGTTATTAAGCCTGTTAGGGTATTTAAAATTTGGTGCCTTATGGTTATCTAACTTGAGAGTCATCGACCTAAAGCTCGCTATATGGGTCATTTAGAAAGCTTAATGGAGAGAAGTCTTGCACATAAGACGTCAAGAAAAAAAAGAAGCAATCTAAATGTATTCATAGGGAAAGAAAAAAGGGATTTAGATTATCAAAATCAAGAGGTGCCTGGTAAAGACTTCAAGATTTGAACTCTAAAAACTGGCTATGTGACTCTGAGAAATTCTTACCATTTTTCTTCTAAGTTTACAAGTATCTAATTATGATCA